TCCCACCCCGGGACCCCCCGAGACCCCCCCGGGCCCCTCCGGGGCCGTTCCGGGGCCGCCGCCTCCTCCCGCCGCCGCCATCTTGGATCGCAGCGGAAGTGACGTCACGGCGGCGCGGGCGTTGCTAGGAGGCGACGCAAGGGACGTAAGGGGGCGGGGCTTGTGATGTTATGGGCGCGGTTTTCTTTAAAGGGCGTGGTTTACGGCATTGTGGGCGTGGTTTTCTCTCAGGGGCGTGGTTTTTCTCTCAGGGGCGTGGTTTGCGCCCTTTGTGGGCGGGGTTTTCTCTCAGGGGGCGTGGCTCACGCCCTTGTGGGCGGGGTTTTTCCTAAGGGGCGTGGCTACAGCGTTTGTGGGCGTGGCTTCCTGGCTAAGGGCGTATTTCCGCATCGTGGGCGTGGCTTTTAGGCGTTGTGGGCGGGGTTCCCTCCCCAAGGGGTGTGGTTTGTTGTCGTGGGCGTGGTTTGTGGCGTTGTGGGCGTGCCCTCCCAGTGCTCCCAGTGCCCTCCCAGTGCTCCCAGTGTCATTTTTGCTCCGTTTCGGGTCATTTCAGTCACTATTTCACTGTATTTTTGTTCATCTCAAGGTTTATTTCAGTCTATTTTTGCTTCATTTTGGGTCATTTTCGCTCCGTTTTGGGTCATTTTTGGCCCATTTCAATTCATTTCCCCCCATTTTGTGTCACTAAAATGTTCATTTTTCTCCATTTAGGGTCATTTTTGCTCCATTTTGGGTCGTTTTTGCTCGGTTTTGGGCCATTTCAGTCACTATTTCACTTAACTTTCGTTCATTTCGGGTTTTATTTCAGTTTATTTTTGCTGCATTTTGGGTCATTAAAAAATTCATTTCAGTCCATTTTGGGGTTTATTTCAGTTTATTTTGCTCCATTTTGGGTCATTTCTGTTCCGTTCTGGGTCATTTTTGCTCCGTTTTGGGTCATTTTCCCTCTGTTTTGGGTCATTTTTGCTCCGTTTCGGCTCCTCTTCCTCCTCCTCCCCCAGGTGGGTTTTTGGGGGGTTTTTGGGGTCCCCCCTCAGAGCAGGGCCCGTCCCTTCTGGGTGGGCAGGATCCCAAAACGTCGTTTTAGGGCCAAACGGTGGCGGGAGAATTTGTCGTCGGGGGAGAAGCGGGCGGGGTGGGCGGAGAACGTGGGGAGACCCCCCGGGGACACCTTCTGGAGGGGGCCAAAAAAAGGGGGGTCAGAGACCCCAAAATACCCTTTGGGACCCCCAAAAACCCCCCTGAAAGCCTCAAAAAAACCCGACCCCAAAATAGCCCCAAAATGACCTAAAATACCCCCCAAAACAACCCAAAAATCACCCCAAAATTGACCTAAAATACCCCCCAAAACCACCTTCTTGGGGGGCAAAAAAAAGGGG